AACTTGTGCCAGTGCCTCAGCACAGGGCAGGATTTCTTCCTAACATCTAATCTAAACCTGCCTCTGTCAGTTTCAGACTTTGTTGCTTTTCCACGCTGCATCCAAGGTCAGTGTTTCTTTTTTCCCTTGTTCTTTTTCCCACTCCAAGGGCTATCTGGGGAGGGAGAGCAGGCTCCAGTCCTGCCCTCAATCCTCCCACATTGGCTGTGAGCTGAGAGCATGGCACGTCTCTACCAAAGAGTTAAAAAACCCCAACATGTAGGAGAGGTCTTGTCCAAGTGGTAGACCAAAGGAAATCCTGTTACCACACCTAATCCCCAGAAAAAAACACACACACTTACTAAAAAAAAAATTTAAAAAATCTCAGGCAGGAAGTCACTTATCTATAGCATCCTGCTGGTGCAGCAGAGAGCAGCCTGCTCTCCATAAAGCATCGGGGCTTGAGGGATGGAAATGCTGCTTCTTCCCTTCGGACCAGGCGCCCTTGCCTGCTGCAGGTCTGGGTGATGGTGGAACAACAGCCCAAGTGCCAGCACCACCACTTGCTCCTGTATCCCCACCAGCACCCAGTAAATCAGAGAGAGGATGATGCAGCCGCAGGCACTTTGAGCAAATCCATGATGCCCAGAGCAAGCACTGGCTTTGCTTTCACGGTGGAAACAAAGGAAGCAGCACCGAGGACTAAGATGTGATTTTTATCCTTCTTTATTTGTTGAAAATGTCAATTAAAAAACTGTTCAAAATAAAAACATGTTAGAAAAGTTGAACTTGCATAAGTAGTTACAGTAAATAAACCTACATGACAAAGATAAACTGGAAGGCAGCTGACACAACATCCATCTAAAGACAGACTCACTGGAACCTATTTACAAAGCACTGTAAACAAAGTAAATATGGAAACATTGCTGTCCATCCGGCATGGCTTCTTTTCCTTTTTATTTTATTTTCTGGTCTTTTTTTTTTTTTTTTTGGCTTCTAGCTCTTGACAAACTCTTGATCCAAAAAGTCCCAGTGTGCCCTCCATCACATTATATCTCACAAACATGCATATGTACACAGCACGGGTTTCAACTAAACCTGGGGGCAGCAAGGACACATTCCTACCCTCTCCTTGGAGCGTAAATGGCCCTTGATTTGCTTCCTTGTGCTGACTGCACATCATGAGCCCAGCCCCCAGCCCAGCTTTGGGCAGGCAGCAGGACCAGACAGTGCCAGCGTGTCTGGGCATAGCATCCCAGGGCAGCAAAGGTCCTTTTCCTGGAAAACAATTAACAAGCACAGTAGGACTCAACTGCTGACCAAACCACTCAGCCGTGTGCCTGGGCAGGGATGTAGGGAGCTGCCATCCAGCTGGGATGCTCTGGGGATAGCAAATGTAGCCAGACCTCTGTTTTGTCCTAGACACAGCTTAAATAGGGTTTCTTAACACACTCCTAGTGATCTCTTGGAGTCTCTCTCTCCCCAAACACCATTTGCTATGTCCTGGCTAAATATTAATGGCAAGGAGGGAGTTGTAATTATTGCCTCTGTTATGTCCTTCATGATCAACGTAACAGTGTGACTGTAATGAGCTGTGGTGCCTCTACACACCCTGGGACCATGCTGCCCTGTGAGATAAATAAGACTTATCATTAACTTTAACAGAAGGTTACTTTTATAGTACTGATAAGGAAGGAAGGAAAACATCAGTTCTAAACTAGGGTCTAACACCAAAGAAGATGAAGATAGCTGATACATATGCATGTTGCCTGTGTGCTGTGTTCAAGGAGCTGTGCAGAGATCTGGAAGGGTGTTGAACATCCTTGCCCCAGGAGCCTTCCAGCTCTTGTCAAAGCATAAATACCTTTCCTATCCCAAGAGAAAGTTCCTTGTCCCTAGCAGAAAGCCCCTTTGGGGCGATGTGGGGAGAAGTGGCCGTTGGCTATGTTCCCAACCTTTGGGAAGGAGCGATGGAGAGCCTAATGTGGGCAGAAGGGAGCAGGGAACCAGCACATTTGGGGTTGTTTTTTGTTGTCAAGCAGTGTTTACATTTCATACAGAGAAAAGCATGTCCTGCGAGGGGAAGCACAGCAAAACTATAATCTCCTAGGATACCTGGACACTTAATGTGAAAACAAAGCAAGGGGTAGGAGTTCTAGGTCATGCACAAGAAAAGGGATGGGGGGCAGAACAGCAGATACCTGTTGTGCTAAACACGAGCTGTAAGGAGGCAGCACTGTGCAACATACCTTCCCATGCGCTCTGACAGGTGCTCCAGATCTGACTTCCCCAAGGAGTTCAAATGTCTTCGTATTAATTGCACATTTTAATCAGTATCAAGGCCACACGGGAACCACAGTATTGCTGGGCTCTAGTTCGCTACAGTCAACTAATGGGGAAAAAGAAGGTGGATGGGAAAAGCTTCCCCAGTTGTGATTATCTGAAAAGAGGAGCATGGTGCTTTTTGGTTTCTGCTCAATGCCACCTCAATAATGTTTTCATTCAATAAATAGGTACCGGTGCTTTTGAAAAGAATGAAAGCATTAAAAAGTGCTTAAGCTTCCTCTAGGAAACTGCTGCCCAAGCCTTTGTGAGCAGCAATCACTAGCAGAGTTTGTATTTGCTCCCAGTAGCAGGTACGATGAGGTATTAGTTGCTGCAGATGAATTGTGAATCATGGACCGCTTGCTTACTGGTTTAGTTGTGATCGATTGTTTCTGCTTTATTTCCTTATTGGATGGAAGAAAAACTATTTTTTTCTCTATGACTTTTTTTTTTTTTTTTTTTGGTAACAAAATTCCCCAAACCAACAAAATAAGGAGCAAGAAGAGGCAAAGGATCCAGTTCCGCTTCCCAAAAAACACCTGAGGTCACACACCACTGCCAGCAGCTTCTCCCCAAAGTCAGGCGATCAGGGACGATTTGCGCCCTGTGTCCTCCCTGCCACACTCGTCTGTCTGCTTCAGCAGCCTTCTAACCAGCTTCTCCAAGTCCTTTCTGGATTTAAGCTCTTCCTCCAAACACTGTTTCATCCTTTTGTTCTCCTGCAAGGTGAAAAATAAAGGAATAGAGATGCAGTTAATGCCCATGCGCTTCATGCATTGAGGTACTTTCACATGCCTGCTGCCTCAGAGGTGATGACAGGTCACTGTCAGCTCGTGAGGATGAACAACACTCGTTACTTGTGGTCTGATCCACTCAAGCAGACCCTTACCACCTCACAGACCTGCACAAAAGTCCCAGGGACTTCACGCAGGCAGAAACATCCTCCTAGAAAGCAAGTTTTTGCCTGGGTTGGAGGACTATGTTCTCCTGGGGGGTCCTCTCACATCCCCAAGCTCAGGGATGGAGGGAGGAGGACTTATTTTTTCTGTGTCTACAGGTACTGGTATCCATCAGAACGCCCTAAAATGAACAGTCAAGTTGCAAGAGACTTTGGAATAGGGGGAATGTTTCATGTTCCCACAAAGACCATCTACTCCTTCCTTCTTGCTGGCTCTGGTGCTCAAGCAATTGCATGGAGGGTCAGAGGAAATACTCTCCAGTTGCACCAGGGGAGGTTTAGCCTGAATATTAGGAAAAAATTCTTCATGGAAAGGGTTGTCAAGCACTGGACCAGGCTGCTCAAGGAAGTGTTGGAGTCACCATCCCTGGAAGTGTTCACAGAATGTGTGGATTCACTTCAGGACATGGTTTAGTGGTGAACATGGTAATGCTAGGTTAACAGTTGGACTCAATGATCTTAGAGGTCTTTTCCAACCTTAAAGATTCTATGATTCTGTGATTCAGGGAGCTAAACCAGAGGAAAACTAATGCTCATTCATGGAGCTGCAGGATTGGACCAGCATCAGCAAGACTCTTCCTAGGTACTGATCAGTCGAAAATGAGCCAGCACAGCCTGGCTAGAATTTGCTCAACTCCCAGCACAAACAGCCCCACTCAAATTACCTGCTTCAGCTCTTTGACTTCATCTTTCAGTGCATAAACTGTGTCAACAAGGCTCCTGCAAAAAGAAATGAAAAAAAAAGGAAATAAGGAGAGTTGGAGTGCAGCAAAACAGTGACAGCACAGGAGCTGTTGTGAGCCAGGCACTGATGGGGAAGGTGCTTCCAGCTTCTGCTTCACAAGCATCAGGATGCTGCCTGTGAGGCGACTCTGAAAACACAGAAGTGTTTGCAGACCACGGGTCCAAAACTCAGGGCTCTTTCCTCAAACCTCAATACCTCGCTCTGCTGTCTCTAAGTTATCAACAAAGCTCTGTGGCTTTAGCTTCCTTGTTTATACCTTGTTTAAGTAATAAATAACAATGATTTCAAACCTGGAAATGCCTGAGCATCTTTTGTAAAGCAGCCTCGATTCCCTGAGGTTATGCTGCAGAAAACCAAACATGAAAGGAATGCACTGTGTGGGTGGGAACGGATCAACAGAGTCACCCAGATGCGGCAGCTCCAGCTCAGGCTGGGAGTGCTCACAGGCAGGGAGTGCTCACAGGCAGGGTGCCAGGGCAGGGAGTGAGGCAGGGAGTGCTCACAGGCAGGGTGCCAGGCAGGCTCCCAAGGGGCAGCAGCAGCTCAGTATGTCAGCAGTTAAAAAAAAAAGAGCCACTTGTTTGGTTCTGTCCTCCCTGACCCCATTAGCTACATCCAGCTAAGCGATAAACTGGGGATCCAGACTCCCAGAGGGCTACAGCCACGTCAGGGCAGCTGGGAAGGTGGCTCTGTCCTTAAAAGGGACAAAACAGCAACTGAAATTGCCTGGTGATTCTTTGCCAGAACTAAGGCAGCAGTCAGTGATGCCAGCCATGCTCCTCTGTGGGGACACAGAAGGCAAGGGCATTGGTTTTTATGCTTTTCCAAAAAGTCACTCAGGGATCTGCAAGTGGAGAGCAGCTGCACTTACTTTTCCTCTGTGACTGTCTGGCCGTTGCTTCGTGTTTCCTCTATGATGATTTTCTCTTCCTCAGGAAAAAGGACTTGGGGAATGGAGTCTTTACGGGAGCCTGTGCACAAGAATTATTCATCAGGAAGAAAACGAGAGAATTTTCCCTGGTCTCCATGGGACAGGAGTTCTCATTCTCCGTGCTCTGCTGCAAGCCTGGGGACACCAGCTACCTGCCATGGCTAAACACAGGCTTGTACATCCCACTAACCTGGAGCTACAGCAGTGAGTGGAAAGTTTTCAAGAGTGCTCACCGCATCTAAAGTTACATCATGACTTATAAATGAAACCATTTGATTAGGGTCAAGAGCTCCCAGAAGAACCATGGCCTCTCTTTCTTAAATGTATCCTTACTTGAAAGTTCAGTGATTTGACATCTCAGCAGCAATGATAAATAGTTATATTTCCAGAGTTGAAGATCTTAGATAGGCTCTTATGAAGCAGCTTGTTCTTAAACACGCAGTTGATTGAGAGATAATATTCATGCTTCCTTTCTAAAGCTACAAGCAACCTGAGATTACCATCAGGTAATCACTGGTGAAATAGCAGTGTCTCATCTGCCCTCCTACCTGCTTCATTCTCTGTGTTTAGAAGAAAAACAATGGCAACTAAACCACTAGGCAGATGAGGCTCCCTTATCTCGAAGATTGAACACCACACAGTTTCCTAGCATGACTCTCGTTGCTGTATGATGCAACATCTGTCTTTTCCCAGAGGGGTTATCGGTATTGTGAGCAGAGTGAGAAGTAAATAATCTGGTTGTGTGCCCACCTGAGCTGAGAGCTTGCTGAAAGCCTGCCCCAGTACAGTATGCCTCGATCACCTTCAGGATCTGAGCATCCTCCTCCAGTGCAGCAGTACCTGTAAAACATTGCAACCAACAGCTGGCACACAAAGCAAGGTGCTCTGGCCTCGTCTCTCCCAGCCCTTGCTCCCAAGCCCCTTCGGAGAGGATCACGTTTCCTTGGCTGACACTGTCTCTGGGCCTTTGTCCAATTGCCTTTTGAAGCCCTTTATGTTTTCTGGCCCTTGCAATGTCCTGTGGCATTCATCATCATGACTGAATGGTATGAGAATGCACTTCTAGCTGCTAATCCCAGTAAAACCCAGGGGATGATGCCTGGCTTTGGGTGCAGGCAGCACCGAGAGATGGGCAGGCAAAGCAGCCCTGATATGGGGAATCTGGTACAGTGGCACCAAATTAGGACTTAGAAACATGAACTCTTAATTTCCAGCCTCCACTCAGTGCCATCTTCTCGAGGGAGACAGCTGACCTTCAGGCTGTACCACTGCAGCTTGACCATGGCCTAGGTGGCCATGGCCTTTCATGTAAAGCTCCTGAGGAGTGTCCCAAGTGGGCTTCAGGGAGCTGTCAAGACATCCCTCCTTGCAGATGAGCACCCCTGAGGGGATGGGGGCTTTTCTGTTCCCTGATTCCCCATGGAAACTCTTCTAGGTCTTGCTAGCATGGCCAGGTAAAGGTTTGATGTGCAGTTTTACTGCAGATTTTAACTACTTGGAAGTAGTTCTTTGGTTTCAGACCCAGAATAAGAACACCCACAATCCATGACCTTGTGCTAGTGATCATGAGGAGGGTGGTGGCATGTCTGGCAGTCATAACCAAGAGGGCAAGAGGGGATCTATCAGAGGTTGTGGACCAGTGTGCTTCCAGAAGCCTCCAGTGCTCAGCAGCACAGAGGCTTGCTGCACTGTCAGAAAAGCTGTTCTCAAAGTCCCATGGAGATCACTGAGAACACAGAAACCTCCAGAGAGAAAAGAAAAATAGAATCATAGAAAGCTTTGGGCTGGAAGGGACCTTACAGATCATCTAGTCCCAACCCCCTGCCATGGGCAGGGATACTTCCCACTTAGCCCAGGTTGCACCAAGCCCCATCCAACCTGGCCTTGAACACTTCCAGGGATGGGGCAGCCACAGCTTCTCTGGGCAACACTTACTTTTCCGAATAACAAACTCTTCATCAGATGGTTTTCTCTCAGTTTTCCTTTTTGGAAGAAACTTCTTCATTGTTTTTGGACTTTTGCTGGAATCCTACAGAGAAACAGACTCTTGTGTTTAACCAGAACCAGAGGCAGCTTGGACAGCAGAGCAGTGCAGTTGGGTGCAGCTATCCATGTTACGCACAACACGTTAGAGAACTACAAAGCAGACGATGACAAAGCTGGGGAAAATATATGTTTTTGCCTTCCCCATGTGCTAGTTGTGACCCACTGCTCCCTGGAACTGCAGTGGGAATTGTACCTGCAGGTTTGGGCAAGGACAAGCTCCTCTAGCAAATTCAACTCTTATCTAAGATCCTTTGGCCAAATAATTCAAATTCAGCCCTTCTAGTCTGCTTACCAACTCTGTGGTCTGTGTTAGAAAACCCTAAAAGGTTGTTTTTTCCATTGACTGGATTTGAGTTCTAATATAAAAGAGTTGGCAAATAACACTGTTTCTAAACCCCAAAATTCGTTTGGGAGTACAAATCTCCCACACACATACACAGAGAACAGACAAATACACACAAAGTTAGTGTTTGCTGTGACTCCATGGGTAAGAAACACAAGCTTTTATCTCCTTCACTCAGTTACAAGTCTTGCTGATTTGGAGGAAATTAGTGTATTAGTAGGTTACATGCAATAGGGATTTAAAGCAGGAGAAGAGACATGCCAGGAAGTTTAAGTACTATCATACTAAATCCTTCTTGAGAGTTATCTCAGAATGTATTTGCCAGTCACTACTGACTCTCACAATAACTTACTGATACAGCCAGGCAATATTAGGGTCATGCAAGCACGAGAAGCGATAAGCCGAAGAGATGTATCTACCCTTACCTTTAAGATATAAGACATCCTCTACAATGAATATGCAAAGAAAGAGAAGATGAGTGTGAGAGACTGATGATTTTATTGACCAAGTCTATTAAATCCACAATTCTAAAACACATTTAAATGTTAGTCTGGCGATTAATGCGGCACACCCTCCATCCTGGTTTTAGAGCACTGTCGACATGCAAAGGAGCACTGTATCATGCAAAACTGGAAAAATTACATGTGAAACGCATGGTAAGTGGCCATTAATACACTCTAAACACAGAGAAAACATGCCTCCTTGGTTAGTAGTAGGTGTCTGTGGATGTTGCTTGCCTAAAACAGTGCTACAAATGCAGGACCTCCACATGACTGGCTCCATCCAAGCCCTGGGGAGTAAGTAGCTTGGGGTCTGGCCCCGTGTTCAACATCAGTCCTGTGGCCCTCAACCCAACCCAGCCAGGATGGCAGGATGCTTTGCCCACCCTGGTGACAGTCTCCCAGGATTCCATCTTCTCAAAGGAGACCTGCCATCCTTGCTGGAGACCTGAGCGCAGCAGTGCTGCAGCATCTTCCTGCTCCACTGGCACACCCTGCACACCCTGTGCCACACGGCTCTCCTGCAGGTCTGACCAGCAAAATCCTGAAGCCCATGTTATAAATCCTTCACCAAATGCCAAGCAACCAGTTTAAAGAAAAAAAAAAGTTGAGTAGAAGAAATGATTTGTAAATCTTTTTCCCTTTGCTAACCTGAATCCGGACACACAGGTTTACCCACAGAACTTACCTGTTCTGTCATTTCAAATGATTACTGGAAACAGAACAGGAAAAATGACCCAATTTCAATGGAAATAACAAGAGTGTGGTGTGGTATGCAAGCAGGGCCTGGGGTTTCCTGAGCACAGCTAGGTACAAGGAAATGCACAAGACTGTGCCATCCCGTCACACTACGAGAAGCCAATTAAAGTAACATGGATGTCTGAAAATCTCTAATCTTTTCATCAAACTCTCCCACTTGCTTCCCTGCAAATAACCTTTGAAATCTGTATGCCTTCATCGCATCTTTATTATAGGAAGGTGACTTCCACAGAGCTGTTAGCATAGCTTATTTTGTGCCCTGCTTTCAATCAAAAAAACCCTAAAATACAGTGAAATAGAGGTTCTGCTTAGTGACTGAGCACCCCAGAGGGAGGGACGAGGCAGATGCAGATCTGCTTGGGCCAACATCCAAACTTATTTCCCATTTGTCGTCGCAGGTTCATGTCCACGAGTCCCTCCCCTGAGAGGGGAACTGCCCACCAGGCTCAGGCTGGACTGATGAGGTAACAGGCTGTTCTGCCCAGCTCTGTTGGACCCGTTAGCCTTTGGGTTTCCACCAATGTAGCCAGCACAGTCTGTTCCCATGCAAACCACATTTTTGGTTCTCTGACACTTGCAGGATAACATCCAGCATCTTACCCCTTAGGCCTCTCTGCCTGCTTGGCCTGTGTGGTAAAAACCTCTCCCCTGGTTTCGACACAGAGTTTAACTCCTGCTATGTGTGGCAGGGGACAAGAAACTGCAAAGGACTGTGGTATTAATGATATCACTCAATTTGTGGTTTCTCACACAGAAAAATTTCTCCTCTACCTCAAGCCTCTTGCTATATTTAAACCTATCCTGTCTAACACAACCTATATTCACCATGCAAGCAAGAAACGGTGTAGCCTCCGTTAGGGATTGGGACCATGCAAAGATTACGGGTCATTTTCAGTCTGCTTGGCTGGTATTTGGACAATTCAATTCCCCAGCTGAAATGCATTCTTTTACAAATGTTAAGAAAGAAACCAACAAGATGCAATGAGGCTACCTAAAATCTCTGCCTGGAGCAGCAGACCCACAGCCCCCCAGCTGCTGAGCTCTCCCTCCCTGAATGCTGGGGGGATGAGGGGGGTGCAAGCCCTTCTCCCCATCCCCAACCCCCATGGGGGGCAGGCAGTGACACTCCCAGGGCTGCGGTACCAAGAAAGGCAGCTGACTCAGACCCAGAGTGCTCACTCAGTAAGGGGAATGTTACCTGAATTACTGGTGACTAATCCCAAAAGTTTAACACGAGGTAGGGAATGAGAGCACTGCAGTTGCGGTGCAAGGTGAGAATCAGAGCAGGGCTGTGTTTTGGGTTTCCCCACACCACCCCCCAGCTCCCAGGCTTGGGGTTCCTGAGGGTGAGAGTGATCCCTCAGGCTGCTGCCTCCCAGCAGGGCAGCACATCGTAAAGCACTCAGGAGAGCACTGAAGGAGAGTTGAGCCCCATGGCTGCTGCAGGGAGCCCTGCTCCAGTCACCAAAACAGAGTGGAAGGCATGAGAAACACGAGCAGGCCTTTCTCCTCTTCCTCTTGATGCAGCACTGCTTCTCAATCCTGCAGTGCTGAGCTGGTGTTACAGCTGCAGCACATCCCAGCAGGGAGCCAGCTCCAGCCCACAGCTCAGACCAAGGCAGGAGGAGAGGAGGCAGCTCCACCATGGCACTGCCAAAGGACAGCCCTTGCTGGGACATTCCGCTGTGGGACTGCTGACATCCAGCATCCGAAGGTGCTGGCTACAGCAGCTGACAGCAAACATCCAGCCTGCAAACACATGTGCTTGTGTGTCCCTTGCAGCACAGCGACCAGAATCCATCGCAGGACTGGGGCCAAACCCGGCAGAGTCATTTCTCTCAATATCCACAAGAACCCACACTTCTGTGCCCTCACGATGGGATAAACAACCTGGACACAAGCTCTAGGGATTGTGTGAGATCAGGGTCCTGCACAGGCAGAGGGGATGATTACCTCTTTGTAACTCAGTGCTGCCGATGGTCTGAGTGGAGGAGCAGGACGGAGGCAGCTCAAGCTCCAGGGCTTGAGGATTTTGGGGGGTTCCAGAGGCCCACGGATCTGCCCAGCTGAACTAAATGTCTGAGAAAATAGATGAGAAGCAAACAAAGACTGTTAGCTACCAAACAGCCTAGAGAAGCAGAGAGGACAGGGAGGTGACGCTTACCGAATGAGAGCTCCAGGACTGTGTTTTGGAGATGGTGCTGCACGTGCCTTTGGTCAGCCTTTGCAAGTGGTCAAGCCATTCATGCAAGTCCTGGCTGGTGCTGCAGGACACAGTGATCCGCTCCATCATGTTCCCTGCAGCAGAGGGTTAAATAATCACCTTTAGCAAGTGGTAGAGACCCAGGAGAAAAAACAGGACGAGCTCAGCTGAGCACAGCAGCTCCTCAGTTTACACAGTTCAGTGGCTGCAAAAAGGCCAGGGCAAAGATAGAAACAGAATCATAGAAGCATTAAGGTTGGAAAAGACCTCTAAGATCATTGAGTCCGACCATTAACCCAGCACTAAATCATGTCCCTAAGCACCACATCTACAGTGATGATGTGACTGCCCATCCTGCTCTGGGCAACCACTGACAGCCAGTGTGGGAGCTGCACAGAAAGGCTAAGGGAACTGGCAAGATGAATGTGTGAGGATTGCTTAATGTTAAAAATAAGCAAACACGACATTTCCATGATTAACAGGGTGCTGACACCAAACACCACCAGCACAAACAGCTGCACTGCAGCACAGGCACTGAGCATGAAATGACTGTGTATGGCTACAAGTAATGAGATAAATTGAAGGGTACAAATGGGAGGAACACTAGAAGAGCTCTCTGATGACCAAAGCCATTAATCTGTCAATAAAGGAGGTGCTCAGAGCTACATCACATGGGTGCTGGATACATACAGTGCAGAACAGTGCTCCTGGAGCAGGAGATTTGTCCCATACAAAACACTTTGGTCTCCAAAAATAGCCTAGTGCCAGAGACAGAGCCCAAGGGCACTGGGAGGAGGTCGCCTCAATCAAGAGAGAGATGCTTCAAAGCTCAGACAACACATGGTAAAAAAGTAAAAAGAAGAGCATGGTGCAGTGGTTAGGGTGAGGAAGAGGACCAGTACTTCCAGTGGTAGCTGTTTTTGGACTGGGAGGACAGCCCCAGGCAGGGGCCTCACTGACCTGTGATTTCAAACATGTGCTCATTCCCTTCAGCATCTTCCAGCTTTGTCAGCGTTATTCCCGTCAACGGCAGCCTTCCCTGGGAGAATTAAGGAGGAGTCAGTGTCTGCATCTGCTTCGCAGTGGGTGTTGTTCTGTTTGTTTCTGCCGATCCCTTTCTCTTTGGGAATCGCCATGTAAAACTAATTTGTGAAGCCTTCAGACTGCAGGAAGAGTCTCCTTTAATGTATGGATCTAGATTTCCCTGCACAACTAGGTCAAACCCCGGAGATGAGGCTCCCATGACAACTGAGTCATCCCTGGCTCATCTGCGGCCCTTTCCCTTCACTCACTGCAAACCTTTTTTACAGTCAAGTCATAAGGATCAACTTCCCCTGGGTTTTCTGAAAGCACTCCCTGTCCCTCTGATTTGCATGCTGAACTGCCTGCTCACCTTACTCCCACTGGTGGGCCAGGGCAGAAAACCCAGCCAAATCCTTCCCAAATCTTTTCCATCTCCCTTGCTATGAGAAATGACACATAAACACAAGAGCATCCTTTTCCTAAGGGGTATTGATGGTTTCAGACAACTGGAGAAAAGCCAAGCTCCCGACAGCCTGACTCCAGCCATTCCAGTGGTAAAAAAAATGGGGTACCTCATGGATGGGAAATCTTGAGCTCTTTACAGTGGGCTTTACAGTAGTAAAATATTCATTGAGAGTTGCATGGCTGGTTGTGTGGGGCAAAAACCCTCCAGCTCGATCAGGACACCTCATACACACAACACACTTGAGATGAACAAAAAGAACAGGCAGGGTGGGGTTTTTTTCTCTAATTTCACAGCATTCGCTTACCAAATGCTGCTTAACCAGCTGGCAGGACAAAGGCACTGAGTGTCCTGGCACCCGTGGCAAAGCCAAGCCTTGGTTCCCAGCCTGGGGCATTTGCATCACAACAGAGAGTTTGAAGGACGCAGAAGATTTGAATTTGATAAGAGCTATCTGATTTCCTTTTTTATACCTAACGCATTGCAACCTCAAATTAAGCATGCCTACCTGATAGATGAACCCACTCATCCGTGGGCTTGCAGACAGCATCAGCAAAACGTTGGAAAACAACAAGAAATACCGCTCT